TTTGTAGCGTAGCGTCATCTTTAGAATAAGGAACAAGGGAACTTCCATGGTGACTCACAGGACACTGTAACTAGGCTTTTTTGACACGAGACGATTTTCGTATTCTAACCTGAGCGTAAGCGTGTGCTTGCGTGTGCTTGCGCGTGCGCCGTGCACGCACACTGGCGTCCATACACTTCACGAGGGGCTGCTCCCAGCTTCCTCGTTCATTCATGCATCCCGATGGAGCGCCTGCCTCTGTGGGCAGGGGCTGCACCGCACACACTCAGACACACGCGCGTGTGCTATATCATTATAAGTGTTTCCTGCTTCGGATACGTGTTCATAGCACGTTCTCAGGAAAAACCTGCCGAGTCTGGATTTGCAGGGCTGCTGCGCTGTCCTCTCTGACGGTGCTCACAGGAGCTTCTGGAACGGGAGAAAGTGTCAGCACATTCCTTAACTCTGCTTCCAGTTATGACCCAGTGGGTGGTGTACACCATCCGAAACCTGACAGAAGACAATACCCAAAACCAGGATTTGATTGCCAACATGGAGGAGCAGGGGCTGGTCGACGCATCCCTCCTTAAAAAAATGGGTTTCGAAGTTGAAAAGAGGGGTGACAAGCTGATTCTGAAATCTATTCATGATGCCCCTCAGCCGGTGAGTATGCGGGGTGAGCTGTGTCCCTCTCAGCTTGTGGGAAGCATTTCCCGCTTCCCCAGTAGCTTGGACGTGACGAGGTTCCTTCTCGCGAATGCAGATGGGAGCATTTTGCCTTCTAAAATGGCAAAGAAGGCCCCACATTGAATTGCCAAGAATTTTTTCTCAGGCTTCATGCTGCCATTTTCTTAAAAGAGTTAAAATATCAAACTCATTCTAGGATGAGAAATAGAAAAAGAATATCAAAATTGTTACGTGGTCCAAAAGTTTCTGACAGGAATTAGATTTCCTTTGAAGTATAGCTTATATTGACTACAGTGAAAAGAACAGAGAACTTATATAATATTGAACGGGTTGTCAGATTTCTCTCACTTATTTCTGATCACTGATGAAAATTCTCTGTATTTTTTTTTCTGTGATGATTCTTGTAACTGCGTTATATCTGCAATTTTGTTTCTTTTTTTCTTTTTAGTGAATCAACGCTCCATATAAATACCTGAATTTGGGGGGCCTGTTTCACGGATTTTTTCATCTTCGGCAGTACGTGAAATTGCGAGCGTTTAAAGATTTCTTAAGTACAAGTTTAGAAACTCGTGAATCTTTTTGGTGATAGAGTTAAATGTGTTTAAGCTTAAAAGTAAAAGTACATGAGTGTTCTGTTGTTTCTTTGCTTTAAAATGTAGTTGTCTGATTAGCTTTGTCCCCATGGATACGATGTGCATTTAAGTCACATACTGTACTTCCTGTGGCAGCAGATAATAAACTCTTCTTGTGGAGCACCCGTCCCTTCCTTGGCAAAGACTTCGACGCTCGCCGGGGTCCCATTTGTTCCTTCAGATGGCGGATCAGCCTCGTTCCTCTTCTTTTCCTCATCCCGTTGGGTTTTCTGAACTCTGGCCGGCGGCCAAAGTAGTTTCTCGCTGTGATTAATTCTAGCAATCTCTTCACCCCTTCTGCCTTTCCAAAACATTGACAAGACTCGTTTCCAGTTAATTAATTCGAGAGATGCGGAAGAATAGAGTGCTCTCCCTCTTCATTTTAGGTGCTGGGCCGTGTCATCACTGAGCCCTGTCCCTTTGGAATTGAGCGGGGGGAGAGAGGGCTGCGGGCCATTAACACTTCTCGTGCCAAATCACCCTAGAATCAGACTTCCCCAAACGCATGACGTTTAAAGGCTGACGCCTCCGAAAAACGGGGAGGGACTGGTCTCTGGTCGGCTCTGTGTGCGGCCACCGCGTGAATGGTAGCTCTGTGTCTCGAAAAGGCGCACTGCTCAGCTTTGGCCACGGCTTTGCTGGACTTGCAAAAGGAACTTTAGGGAGCAGGAGTTCATTTGACCTATGTCTGTCTGTCTGTCTGTCTCAGGTAGGTAGGTAGGTAGGTAGGTAGATAGATAGATAGATATATAGACAGACAGACAGACAGACAGACAGGCAGGCAGATGTTCACATTAGAGGTAGAACCAGATTACGTGAGCACTGAAATCTTTGTAAACACCCAGATCATATCATCGAAAATCTCTCCTGGGTGGTCGTGTTGTGGACGCTTAAAACATATTGTCTTGAACAGCCGTGTACTAAACTAAAATCCCTAGAGATCGCACGATTCGTGTGGAACCTTCCAAAATAAAAACAAGGAGCCAACCAGAAATTTTCCAGAAATACTGATTGTCCCAAAGTAAAGTGCTTCTAAGCTGCTTCGTAGCCATACTTAAATTGCTTTGTAGAAATAGCTTAAGCATGTTAAGAATAAAAGACCTTCCCTGTGCTATCCAACATAGTCTGTATAACTCTGAAGAAATGTCACCTTCTGGGATTGTGGTAATCTACAAATAACGTTTTTTCTCTCACTTACGACAATTCTTCCGGTAAAGAAGCCATTGCAGAATTTACAATGCACAAAGAAGTCATTGGGACGCAAAGAGTTAAAACCCTGCTCTCTACATAGAAGCCTGGCCGAAGGGAAGAAACAGTGGGAGTCCCTTTTTCCTTTTAACAAGTCCGCAATAGACACTTCTGTTTTTTCTTCTCTCAATGGATGTATGCACACCAGTGGAATCACACAAACATGTCAGTATAAGCCATACAATAACAAACACAAATAAATAAAAGGGAGCCTTGTGGGAATACAGAATGGAGTAATGGCTATGTGTTTTCTAAGGAGGAAATGTGGGCTTGCGTACTGAAAACATGCTGATGGCGGCATTGTGGCTGCTTTTGATGCCCGCGGACAGATTAATTCTTGAGCACAACAGCCTCCCTGTCCTCTGCCAGCGGAGAGGAGCGCCCGAGACCCTTGTTTTACGTGCTGCAGGGGATTAAATCGCCGCCACGCTCAGTCATCTAGAAGGAGGGGAAAGGGCAGGCCAGTCTTACAGAATGTGTAGAGACAGAACGGTCACAGCAAGTTTTGTGACCATATCATTGCTTTCAAGAGCCAACTGACAAAGCAATTCAATTCTTCAGCCAGCTTCGTTTTCAAAGGTAGCAGGGAAAGGCTTTGTGCTGGCCACTGGGTCCAAGTATTTGCAGGATGATTTTTTAATACCTCAGACAGTGGATGCTAATATTTCAAAAATATTTATTTTCACAATTTTAGTAATATACTATTAGAATTTGGCCATAACATATATGCACGTGTGTGTGTACATAACGTATACCCATGTTAATAGATCTCACGGGTGTGGGGGGTTTTTGGAAGCCAATATTGATATGCATATTTGTTCAGTAACTTCTGAACCTAACCTTAGGACTTTGCAGACTACTTACATGTCCATTTTGTGAAATGGGATAGAGAGAGATGATTGTGGTCGTTTGGGCTACCAATTAGCAAATTTTAAATCAAAATTTAATATTTTACACATGTCTGTCTATGTCAATTATCGTGTTGAAGGCACTGATATGCTGCTCTTATAACAACAGCTATGATTTTACTGTTGTTTAAATGCTTTTTTACTGTCCTTTAACCTCTCCTCAAATGAATAAACAAAGATTGGAACAAAAATCACCAGCGTTTACAGAAGGAAGACTTTGGAAAAAAAATACATGTGCCATATTGGTAAGTTCTGCACATAAACATAAAGGAATCAATTTTTACATGAGAGTCAGTAAAATTAAGACTTTTAAAATGCAGAGAAGTTGAGGAAGAACCTTAACATTTAAGATCTAATACAAAACCAGCCCTTTGGAGGGGAAAAGGGCCTCTTAGTGCTGTCCAAGGTTCTGATAATGGTAGCTACAGTGGCCCATATATGGAAAATCAATTCAAAAACCTTGTTTTCAAAATTCAGATTTTTCTCCCTTGCATTTATTTGATAAAAATCTGTTTTCTTCTTCCCTACGTATTTTTAATCATAATTTAGATTTTTTTAGGTCAAAACTCATTTAAGTGATATTTTACGGTATGAATTTGATTACCATCTACGATATATACGAATTTTAAAGATAAGCTTTTCCTTTAAACGTGGTGGTTACGGTATTAACTCATTCATCAGATCTCATGACAGCCAGTCAATTATGTCAGTGGAAATGACTTTGCAGGTTTCGATAATTGTTTTTTCTTTTTTAAATTAAAACTTTAAATTAGAAACATTAAGTTCAGTGTTTTTTTCTGTTTAAACGATATGATGTGCATTCTTCCGCACAGAGCTGCTTCGTGCTTCTGCTGGTTAAACAAGAGCTCACGTGACATTTTATAGCGTGGACGTGACCTTTACCCCTGCCGTGCAGAGCGCTGTGCCCGGGTCCCAGCCCCCTCCTGCACCCAGCTGATGCCGGTCGTGCGTTTCCTCCACACTGACATGGCCCCTGACACCGCTAGGCCGTAGGAGGGGTGAGGGTAAAAAGACACAGGTGTCATAGTCCTTAGGACAGTGCCTGGCGCAGGCGGGTGGTCGCTGGCGCAGTTTCTCTGTCGCTCCAGCATGCAGTTTTAAGCACTGAAAACCATCACTGAGTTTATCTGACGGAAGTGCGTGGAAACTGCATCTCATCTCCTGTCGCCGCGATGCTGGACAGACAGAAGGTGCTCACTGAGCATGTCTGTTAGCAGGTGCTCGTGTAGTGCTTGCTGTGGTCCAGGCGACGCTCTAAGCACTTGGAAGGTATTCATCGTTTAACCCTCATAGCAACTGCACAGCGTGTTCTGATACCAATCCCATTATGCAGTTGAGTCGCAGAGGTTGCTTAGTGATGAATTGCTCTCGTTAATTGGAAGGGCTTGAGTAAAGGGAAACGACATGGCTGCTTCCCCAGAAGTGTGCAGCGTGACTGGCAAGAGAGCGTCCGGAGCCGGGGAGGAACGCGGGCCCCACCATGAACGTCCGTGATCACCTCTCAGCCTCGCTCCTCGCCAGCTGCGTGGCCTCGAGCAAGTTGCTCAGCGACTCTGAGCCTCAGTGCCAGGCAGGTGCTGGGATGTGGCCGTGAGCAAGACACAGTCCGTGGTCTCTCGAGGCTTGCGTTGGGATGAGAGTGGCAGAACAAGCACACAAATAGATAAACGAGCATCGTGTATTGTAGCGAATGCCACGAAGACAATAAACCAGGTGACGACGTGGGTGGTGACTGGCGTCTCCTTTCTGAGGCAGCCCCATCTGATCGGAGGCCAGAAGGTTGACGAGGCACCAGCTGCACAGGACCGGGGGCGGGAGGTGAGCGGTCCAGGCGAGGGAGCCCCAGGTGCAGCGGGGTTCGCTTGGTCGCAGGCCAGGAGGGTGGCCGTGGGGTCAGAGCCTGCTGACGGGAGACGGGCATGAGTGAGGCCGGGTCCCGGGGAACCGGGAGTCGCATCGTGCAGGGTCTTCAAGGCCATAGAGGACTTCGGGCTCTACTCGGAGTGGAGTGAGAAGCTCTGAGTCGTACCAGGCAGAGGCGTGAGAAGATCTGCTCCACGTTTCCCACCGAGCGCTTTGCTGCTGTGCGGAAAATGGGTCGGGGAGGAAAAAGAACGGAAGTAGAGAAGGGCTTTCTGGGGCTGTCGACGATGGCGATGTGGACAGGCGTGGTGGTGGCAGTGGCTATGACAGACTTGACTCTGGTAGATACTTTGGAGGTAGAATCCACACAGTTTGCAGATGGGTCAGCTGTTGACATGGTGTGAGCGAAGTAAGCAATAAACTCCTGAGGTTTTGGTGAACGACCTGGTAGGCGGTCGCACCTTCACCGGGCTGGAAAAGTCTCGATGCTGAGAATGACTCTGACGTGTGTTTGGTTTGGGGCGGAGAGAATCGAGAATTCTGTTTTGGGCAGAGCAAGTCTGAGATGCTGTTGAGACATCCGCGTGGAAATGATTAAAAGTAATTGGATGCACAGGATTAGTGCTCCGAAGGCAGGTCGGTGCTGGAGACCCACGCTTGGAGTTGGTGGTCTCACGTGCCGTTGGTACCCGAAGCCGTGGAAATGAGGGGGATTGTCTCGGAGGGCGCGCGGGTGAGGAGGGCCCCCACCTCGTTCCCACCCAGCATCCCCGAAGACACGGCCATGCAGGTCAGCGCGTTCAAAACTGCCGTTTGAAGGTGTCAGGGAGTCAGCAGGATACAGTGAAGGATCACAGGACCAGGATCTGGGAATACAGGTGAGGATGCACCTGGTGTTCCGGCCGCCTTTTCTTCTGGAGCTGTTTTCATTTCAGAGGAAGAAGCGGAGTCTGAGCCACCGAGTAGTACCTATCACCGCCTCGAGCGGAGGGCAGAGGCAACGGGAACGCCTGGCGAACCTCCATTTCTTTACACTGAGACCCCAAAGGGGCTGCCTCAGAAGAACAATACTGAATCAGA